AGCAACTGGAAAGACACTGCAGGGCGAGAGCTCTGGCCTCAAGAGGAGGGCAGCCACTGTCCAACGTGGCCTGGGGAAGGCAGGGATTTTAAGGACTCAGACCTCTTCTCTCACCCTGCAATCTCTTGCCAGCTTGTCCCAGTGGCAACCAGATGTCAGAGGGCCAGGGCGACCAGGCAGTGTAGACCATAGGGGTCAGGCTCCTCGGGCACAGGGCAGGGTGGAAAAGAAGTCTGGAGGGGCAAATAGCAAAATCCAACCCAGAGACCATCAGCAGCAATCCCATCTACCATATGTCCCTTATTACCTCCGTGATCACCAGGGGCCCACCTCCCAAGCCTCCCAATGTCATGGACACTGTTGATGCCCCTCCCAGATCTAGGCAGGTGAACCCATCTTCCAGCTGTCCTGAGTGTTGGCTGCTAAAATGCTTGTAAGCACATCTGTGTACCCTTCTCATCCAGAGAACTGCCCTTGGCCTAAGGGGAGTTCCCTCACCCAGGAAAGTAGACCCCCCCTTCCCTGCTCAAGCAGCCTGTAGCCAATGACCAGGTGACATGTGGATACAAAAGGCAGGCCTCCTTGCCTCAAGGTGGGAGCAACTCTGTGGTGCCATTCATGCTCCAGAGCTCACAAGAGATCAGGCTGAGGCTGGTCTCCTGCTGAGAACTTAGCCTTGCTTGCTCCTTCCTGTGTACCCTTCTCCTGAGAGTGCTCCATCACATGCACAGGCTTTGCTTCAAGGGATCCAGACCTAAGACACCCATCAACACACAAACTTATTCCCTACACCTCCACTCCTCCTCAATCCAAACTTTTTCATTGTATCCTCTGGAATTCTTGGGGTGACATCGGTGAAGTCCCTGTGTCCTCCACCTCTTCTTCAGAGAGCAGGTGTTTGGAGTCTGCACACCATGGACCTTCATTTTGTGCTGGCTGGTTCCCCACTCTCTCACCCACCTCTTTCTACTCTTGTCTTTCTCCGTGCTTGCCTTTTAGTGATGTGCACAGAGCACAGTTGCTGCTGGCACTCATGCCTGAAGATGCTTTGGGTCCTTGTTTGAAACAGATTCTAAGTGTCTTTCCTAATAGGATCCCAGATCTCCTCTGAAAGAGAATCTTCCAGGGAGAGCTATGAGCCTCTACGGCCTGACAGGACCTCTGCCAGCTCATGGCTAGCAAGGACCACCCCTGCTACCCCTGTGAGATCCAGGACTCGCTGGTGCAGTTTCTGCTTTGTTAAGTGAAAGTCAGAAATTTCATGGGCTTGAGAAAACATACCTCATTATAACAGGCGTCCTAGAATGACTGGGTGTGGTTAAGACAGTCCCATCCGTGGATAGAAAACAGTAGAGAATAAGCCAAATAAAATATTTAATGTGATCTTTTTTAAAAAAATCTTTTATTTTCAACTATTTTCTGAGTTTTAACTTCCTACAAGAGTGAGATTGCACATAGTGCCCTAACCCAAGGAGGGGAGGTGGAAAAAGACATCAGCAATAATGTTTATATCTGGCCTACTGACTGCCACTTCAAAGCGGGAGGTAACTCTCTGGAATCTGTCTTGTGTCTGTTAGCCAAATTGCTTAATTCCTTTCCACTCTTTTCTTGTAAAATGAGGCACGAGTATCTTACCAGCTCCTCCAGGATATTGAGCCAACTTACCCATTCATTCAACAAGTAACAAAAGCCAGATATTTGTTCAGGGACAGGGTCAGGTGCTAGGCTGTGGCTGCTCACGTGCCTGCCCTAGAGAGTAAAGCACTCTTAACTACAACCACGGCTGTTCCTGACTCTTATTCTTGAGTTAGAGTGGGTCAGTCAAGGTGATGCTGGATTGTCCTGGTGTCTTCTCCTTCGGGGAGTTGCCACGGGGACAGTGGTGGGGAACAGTCTTGCCCCTGGCTGCAGGCACAGGAAGTCCAATGCATAAAACCTTTGGCTGAGGCTTACTTAAGGTTCCTTTTCTCCCCCCAGGGCCTCCCCCACCCCGCCCCACTCACTGTACATAGTTTAAACCCTCCACACTAGCTCATTCAAGCCTGGAGTCACCAGAAAAAAGAAGTCGCTGTTTGGGGGATGGCAGATGATCAAGAGTCCAGACAGCTGCAATGAAGGATTAGTTGTGGGTTTTTCTCAGTGTCTCGCTACAAACTGGGTTGCAGTTCCATGTTCAAACACTATTAAATGAGAATGTTTTCTCTGGCACCAATCCACCTTTTCCCCACAGTTTAAGTATTGAATTAAAAAAAAAAAAAAAAAAAAAAAACCTGAAGTAGCTTCGGTTTACAGCTCACATTTAAAACTTAAAAACGGTATTTCCATAGATGTTGGCAGAAACCGGCCACTGTTTATTCCACCAGCAGTCATAATAAACCCTTTCCCACTGACAATCTAACAAATCATTTTCTGTTTGCCACTGAGTTGGGTTCAATAAAATTTTTGTGCTCTTAAAATTCCCTTAACAAGAACTCCTGAAAGCACACATTTCCTTCCTAAGGCAGCCTTTGTGGTCAACATTCCCAGTGGTTCTTTTTTTGGATCCCAGAGGTGAGCATAACAGGTTAGTAGCAGTAATTAGAATGTCTCAAAAATCAGAAAGATATTAGTTTGTTGAATATGTTGCATTTCAGTCGATTAGTCACTTTTAAGTACACGTGTATACACAATCCTCCCCTCAACCCTTCACTGCTCCAGAAGTCAAGCCCAAATATTAGCAGTGGCTAGGGGTGGTCTGTAGACCCTTCACAGTAAGTGCCTCCTGCTTGGGCTGCTGGAGTCAATGGGGCTGGACAGACACCCACCACAGTGAGCAGCCTCCTGGGGACCAGCCTGAGAAAACCAGAGAGACCCGTGGGCTCCATGCTGGTGGGTCAAAGAACAAGCAAGCATCTTAGAGTGGGCCTGGAAACTCCCAGAGAGCTTACAGGGGTGCTTGCTTTTTCAAAAGACAGGCCAGACTGGGCTGAAACTGCAGGGTATCAATCCAGGAATCCTCTAGGGTCTTCTAAGACACATGCTCAGGGAGGTTGAGTGCAGCCTGCACACTGGGTTTTCATGGTAGGTTTGGAAGAAATAGCCCATTTTTTTCTTTAAGGTTGGTTTCCTTTGAAGTAAAAAATTTGGTAACTTAGTTCCACAGCCTTCAATCAAAGGCTGACAATGTTGACTATACTGTCACCTGGGCTTCTTCCTCAGGGGACATTGCTAGGATGAGGGTGGAGGTGCTTTTCAAGCCCCATGAAAGGCAGCCAACTTCAGAGTTAATGAGGACCCTTTGTCCCCACCCTAACACAACCCCTATGGGGAAGAGCAGCATCTACAAAAAGCTCGTGCTAAGCTTGGAGGAACAGTAGCTCTGCAGGGCACACAGGGCTGGAGCCAGAACACCCAGCCCAGCCTGGGTCCCTGTGGATGTCTCTTTTCATTTTCTCATTCAGCTGGGAAGGACAACTGCAGCCAGGAGCTATAAGGGGAGTTAAACAGCTCGGGATACATATCTACACAGACACTCACTGGTCCCCCACCCCTTTATAGTCCTGCCTTATGAACCTCTCCTGCACTGATTTAAAAAAGAAGTTTCTCTGGTGGAGTACAGGGTGGGATGAGGAAAGGAAGGAGAACATAGCATTCCATAGGCAAAGGCGATCTCCCCCAGCAGGAGGCCATAGAAGATCTGACTTACTGCTGGGCTGCAGGGTGCCCTGATTGGAAGGCTGCTGTGCACGCAAGTGCATCCATCAATAATAACATTGACTCCTGTGACCACACAGTCCCCCGGGGGTACAGACTATGATGACCTAGGCAAATTCAGCCAAAGACAGCAGTGCCTGGACTCACGCAGTAACCTCCTAACCGGTCTCCCTGCTTCCACCCTTGCTCACTCTCAGGTTTTTCGCAGCAGCAGCAGTAGGGTGGGAAATCTGGTTATGGTATTTGAAAGGTGGGGCTTTTAAAAGATGATTAGACTGTGAGGAGGGTGCCCTCATGAATAGATTGATCCATTCATGGAGAAATGGGAAGGAGAGGGAATGAGAAAGTTACATCTCTCTTGCTCTGCCCATTCTCACCATGTGATATCCTGCTACGCTGCAGAAGAAAGACCTCACCAGATGTATTTTCTGGACCTTAGACTTCCCAGCCTCCAGATAAATTTAGTTTCTTTATAAATTGTGCAGTTTCAGATATTGTTATAAGCAACAGAAATGGACTGACACAAAGCCCTATGCCATCTGTTTCTCCCCCACCCACACACATGCCTCTCTCCCTCCACTCCTGCTGTTCTTCCTCTGCTCGGCCTCCCTGCTGTTCCCTGATCACACCGAGCTCGTTCTCACTTCCGGGTATTGCACATCCTGCTCCTCTGCCTGGAATGCTATGCTCTGAGACCTGATTACCTAACATCTCTGCAGGAATGTCTCTTTCTCAGTGAGGTCTTCCCTGACCACCCCATTTAAAACTGCAGCCTCATTTCCAGGCTTCCTTACCCACTTCTCTGCTTTATTTTTCTCCATACCAATTATCACCATCTGATACGATGTATATATTTATTTCTGTTTATTTGTTGCTTTTCTCTCCCTGTAGAATGTAAGTTCCGTGAGAGCAGGGATTTTTTTCCTGTTATTCTGTGTAGAATCTCCAGTGCAATACCTAGCACAGAGTAGGAACTCAATAAATATGTATTAAAAGAATGCATGAAACTAGATACCCTCTGGTTTTCTTCTATTTCCAATTCTGAGACTTATAAGTGAGCATTGTTCTCAAATGGGATTAGCTAACCATTGTAAGATTTTGGAGATTCAAAATTATTGAGCAAAAGCCACATTTCTGTACTGTACATCTATACCCAACTTGTTTTTCAATTGGTGCCAGAATTGGTACAGGTCAGACCAAGTGAAGACCATCATGAGGCTTGAAGAAGTTTTTAGCCTTTGTCTTCGACCATCTTTCCTGAATGGGGAGAATGGAGATTAAATTCTAGAAGAGTAGAGAGGCCAAAGTAGGTTTTCACAATTATCATCTTTTAGGAGTGCTTTTCTTATTTAAAAAATAATACTGATTTTTCTGGGGAAAAACAAACAAACTATCTTCAAACCAAAATGGCAAGAAAGGCAGGTGTGAACATGGGGAAAACAGATGTGAACATGGGGAAGACAGATGTGAACATGGAGAAGACATGAACATGGTGAAGACAGGTGTGAACATGGGGAAGACAGGTGTGAAGGTGGAGAAGACATGAACATGGGGAAGACAGGTGTGGAGATGGGAAGACAGGTGTGAACATGGGGAAGATAGGTGTGAACACAGGGAAGGTGGGTGTGAACACAAGGAAGGCAGGCTCACTTCTGGTTACATGTAGTGAGAGAGATGGGGCTTCCCTTTTACTTTATAAAGTATAGGAAAGGTTTTGAGGTATCAACAACCTGGGCTTTTGGGAAAAGGAGGACAAAGAATCTGTTTCCTGAATGTCGAAAGGAAGTCTCTTTGGTTGCTGTGGACTAGCCAGTCTCCTCCAGTTCCAAGAGGTCATCCACGTATTCCACAACCTCTCCCTGGAAGAGACAATAAGACACCTCTGTTAGGTGGCTATCTGCTTTAAGAGTGCTGGTGAGGGCCGGCCCGTGGCTCACTCGGGAGAGTGCGGTGCTGATAACACCAAGGCCCCGGGTTCGGATCCCATATAGGGATGGCCGGTTGGCTCATTGGGTGAGTGTGGTGCTGACAACACCAAGTCAAGGGTTAAGATCCCCTTACCAGTCATCTTTAAAAAAAAAAAAAAGAGTGCTGGTGAGCAGAGGCAGTTCCAAGAGGCCTCTGCTGGCTGGCTGCTTGGGCTGAAGCAGCTTTTTTCCACTGGCCTGGGGCCCAGAGGACCTGACTTCTCCCTGTGGAGGGGACTTGAGCTTTCACTCCTTGTGAACTTGGTGTCAAGTGCTTTGAGACTCCCACGGATGGCCTATCTGAGGCAGACAGTCCAGCAACCCTCAGAAGGCCCCATCTAGTGTCCCCTCCTCTGTATGTCACTCTGCACCCCTTCTCCCATTGCATTAGCAGTTCTCCTGCAAGAACACTTCCTGTCTGTTCACTTCCTGCCTCGACCACCAGACCACAAGCTTTGCAAGGGCCAGGGCCTGGGACACAGAAGGTGCTCAATAAACCTCAACCTGAAGCAGCCCAGAACACTTCCTGATGTCCTTCTCTCCACTGACTTCTCTCCCACAACCCACCCAGGCCACCAGCTGCTGACACCCATTCTCTTTACTGCAGAGAATGAGTCTATCACCAAGGAGGCCAAGGTGGTCAGAACAAGCCAGCCCACTGATGCTGACCACTCCTGCTAATGTTTGGCCTCCATCACAGAGCTCATCATCCCAGGCCAAGAGCCTATTTGCTCCTTTTGATATTTTAACAGAAAGATTTATAAAAATCTCCCAGCATTTGGAAATAATTAGAAAATCCATCAAGTACAAGAAACATAAAAGAGGGTATTATTATTTTCACCAAATATTTCTGCCATGTCATGCCTGAAATAAGAAATTCAGATTATGGGAGTAGAAGACTACAGCTTGAAAAAAACAGTGTTCTTCAGCTGCTTTCTGGACCCTAAAAGGAAAACATGGCATGGTAGAGGGATTACGTGCATAACCATGACATCTGTATAAGGAGTTACTGTTTCCTGCTGTGTGGCTGCTGTGACCCGGGAGATGAAGGTATTGTTTGCTTTTAGCTCACTCATAATGTGTCCAGGGCAATACAAATTAAAGAAATGCATCCCGCTGTAGGCCTGTTACAGTGGATGCTGCTGGTGCCTTGCTCAGGTCTCCTTCGTGGTGCATCTGTCCCCCAGCTGCTGTGAGGGCTGGTGGCTAATGGCTGACAGCTACCCCTTCTCTGGACAATTGTCCTTTGCTAAAAGGAGCAGCCTCACCAGGGAGGTTACACACCAACCCTTTCTGGCAGATGACAAATAATGACAGACCGGTAAGGGGGACTACAAAAGGCAGGAAGAACTCTGTGGTACAATTCATGCTCCAGAGCTTCCTGGGATTAAGCTGAGCCTAAGTCCAGCTGAGACCATATATTTGCTGAGCCCGTTCCTCTCCCCTCACTTCCTTTCCTACCTGAGAGCACTCCCTCAGTCAATCATTCCAACAAATTACGTTCTACTTTTAGACCTTCCTGAAGCAAACAACCATCAGAACCTGAAACTTGAAGCATCTATTTCCGCCTGCTTTATAAAGTTTCTGAAACTGTAATAAGCCTCTGCAAAATCTGTAACCAGTATGCAAACATTCAGCAGCACTTACATACATTTCAACTCCAGAAAGATAATAAGGAAGACTGCCACACATATCAGTAGCTAAATTAAACTGATGCTTTGTTTCAAAGCAGTGTTATGTCCTTTGGAAAAATTAAGGATCAAACTAAGGATTTTACTGTACTGATTATATTTTCATTTCAAATTATTACTTGCCATAGTAAGAAAATAGCTCCTTCTTTAGAGATGGTTTAATTCTTTCACAGTTCTAAAGCCTCAATTAATAGGCAGACTACTCTGGACCTTCAAGGGAGTCTTTTCATCATGAAAGTGCCAAGTCCAAGAATCCTAGGAATTTTAAAGCCTAGAATAAGCCTGGTCTGTTCATTAGACAATTACTAACCACCTATGTGACTACAAACAAGTCCCCCTACTTCCTGAGTTTGTTTCCTCATCTGGGGCATGAGAGAGTTTCACTGAATCTCATGAAAAGTCTCTTCTTGTTCTAATATCTATGACTTTTTTTCTTCTAAATATGTTGTTCTTGTAGATCAGAAGCCTACAAACTGTTCATAGCCTTAGACCTAGGAATTCTACCACTGGTTTATTTACCCTAAGGAAATGACCAAAAAGGTAAAAGATTTAGTCATTACTGTGTTATTCATAAAAACAAAAAATTGGAAGCAAACTAAAGGTCTATCAAAAGAGCTTTATTTCTAAAAATGCTAAATTATGCAGTATTATTCATTAAAAAGTCATGTTTATAACGAACATTAATGGGCTGGCTGGTTAGCTGCTTGGTTAGAGTGTGATGCTGATAACACCAAGGTCAAGGGTTTGGATCCTCATACCGGCTAGCCACCAAAAGAATAATAGACAGATAGAACATTAACTAACAAGGGAAACAAAAATCATGTGACTATCTCAGTAGGTGCAGAAAAAGTGTTTGATATAATTCAACACAATTTCATGATAAAAAACATTTAACAAATTAGGAGTTGAAAGGAACTACCTCAACCCAACGAAGGGCACCTACCAAACCCCACAGCTACTATCATACTTAATGCTGAAAGACTCAATGCTTTCTTCTAATGTTATTCAGCATTGTACTGGAGGTTTAAACCAGGACAATTAGGCAAGAAAAATAAATAAAAGACGTCCAGATTGGAAAAGAAGAAATAACACTACCTTTATTCATAGATGACATGATCTTGTATATAGCAGCTTCTAAGGAATATACACATGTGTGAATACACATACATACACATACACATACTATTAGAACTAATAAATAAGTATGGCAAGTTTGCAGGATCAATATACAAAAATCAATTGCATTTCTATTCTTTTAGAATAGATCTGAAAATGAAAATTAGAAAGCAATTCCATTCACAGTAGCATCAAAAAAGAATAAAATACTTAGGAATAGCAAAATAAGAAACCACTGTGAAAGAAGTTAAAGAAAACATAAATAAGTGGGAAGACACCCCATATACATGGATCAGAAGACAATATAATTAAGATGTCAATATTACCCAAAGAGATCTACAGATTCAGTGCGATTCCTATCAAAAAATCCCAGGTGCCTTTTGCAGAAATTGACAAGCCAAACCTCAAAATTCATATGGAAATGCAAGGGATCCAGAATAGTCAAAATAATCTTAAAAAAGAAGAAAAGTTGGAGGACTCACACTTCCAATTCCAAAATGTATTTGAAAGCTACAGTCGTCAAGACAGTGTGGTACTTGCATAAGGATAGAAATCTAGATCAGTGAAACAAACTGAGAGTCAAGAAATAAACCCTCACATTTATGGTCAATTGATTATCTTCAAGGGCACTAAGAAAATTCAATGGGGAAGGAGGTCTTTTCAAATAATGGTGCCGGGACAACTGAACATCCACAAGCAAAAGAATGAAATTGGTGCTGGCCAGTTAGCTCACTTGGGAGAAAGTGGCACTGATAACACCAAGGTCAAGGGTTCAGATCCCCTTATTGGTCAGCTGCCAAAAAACAAAACAAAACAAAACAATAAAATTGGAATCTCTACCTAATATCATATATAAAATTAATTCAAATGGATCGTAGACTTAAACGTAGCAGTTAAAACTGTAAAAAACTTGGGAGTAAAAAACAGGATTAAGTCTTTGTAACCTTGGATTAGGCAATGGTTTCTTCAATATGACACCAAAAACACAACCGACGAAAGAAAAATAGATAAATTAAATTCCATCAAAATTTTAAACTTTTGTGCTTCAATACACCATTAAGAAGGTGAACAGACAACCCAGAGATTGCAAGAAAATATCTACAGTTCATATATCTGATAAGGGATTTCTAACCAGAATATCTATACAACCCAATAATAAAAGGAAAAGTAACTTAATTTTTAAAAGGACAAAAGATTTGAATAGACATTTCTTCAAAGAAGATGTACAAATGGCCAATAAGTACATGAAAAGATGTTGAACATTATTAGTTATTTGGGCAATGCAAGTCAAAACCACAAGGAGATACTACTTCACATCCACCAGGATGGGTATGATAAAAAAAAAAAAAAACAGACAATATCAAATGTTGATGAGGATGGGGGCCAGCCCAGTGGCGCACTGCTACAGTGCGCCGCTTGGGAAGCGCAGCGGCGCTCCTGCCGAGGGTTCGGATCCCACATACAGACCGGCCGCTCACTGGCTGAGCGAGGAGCGGGTGCAACACCGAGGGTTGCGATCCCATTGCCGGTCCCGGTCCGGTACGGGCACGACACTGAGGGTTGCAATCTGTTGCCGGTCACGAAAAAAGACAAAAAGGAAAAAAAAAATGTTGATGAGGATGAAACAAAACTGGAACTCTCATACACTGCTGACAGGAGAAAAAAATGGTACAACCGTTTGGAAAACAATCTGTCATTTCCTCAACCAATTAAACAATACAGTTACTTGATGACCCAGCAATTTCATTCCTGGGTATATACTTATATATATATTCCCAAGTATAAGAAAATTGAAAACTTAAGTCCAAAAAAAATTTGTGCACAAATGTTCATGGCATTATTCATTATACAAAATAGCCCCAAATGTGGTAACAACCCAAATGTCCATAAAGCTGAAGAATAGATAAATAAAATGTGGTATATCCATACAGTGGAATATTACTTGGCAGTAAAAAGGAAATTTTACATGTGACATGATATATACTACAACATGGTTGGACCTTGAAAACATTATTTATGCTCAGTGAAAGAAGTCAGTCACAAAAAAGAAGTCAGACCACACACCATATGATTTCATTTATATGAAATGCCCAGAACAGACAAATCCCTACAGACTGAAAGCAGATTAGTGGTTTTCAGGGACTGGGAGAGCAGGTGGAGGGTGGTGCGGTGGGAGAAATGGGGAGTGACTACTAATAAGTATAGAGTTTCTTTTTGGGGTGATAAAAATGTTCTAAAATTAAGAAAATAGTAGTGGATGCACAGCTTTGTGGATATTCTATAAACCACTGAATTGCACACTTCAAAAAGGAGCATCTTATGGTATGTGAATAGTTTTGCAATAAAGCTGTTATAGAAAAACATAACTAGGAAAACTGTTCATATTATAATGTTAAGTGGAAAAGCCATGATATATAATTACAATTGAGTTTACAATGAACAGACATTGAGAAATAGAAATTTAAAACTTCACAAAATTTTTTTTCCCTAAAAATAGAAAAAAAAATGGAAGGATATATACCAAAATGTCAGTAGGAGCTTGCTTCTAGACAGTTGGGAGTTCAACCCCTCCCCCTTTTTCTAAATATATTTTTCTGCACTTTCCAAACTATAGCAGCCAAACTTGTTGGTATTTGGCCAGCATTCCTTCCTTTGGAGAATGGGCCCTGCAGTGTCCTTGTGATCCTATCCCAGGCTCTGCTTCAAGGAAACCCAACCCAAGGCATGTGCATCACTTCCTAGCTTATAAAGCACTTTCACATGCAACACAGTGTTTCATTCCCACAACTCTTGGAGGGAGACAGTATTATTCCTGTTTTACAGATAAAGAGCTGAGGCTCAGTACATCAGTGAGGGATCCATCCCATACAAATTTGTGCACAGAAAACAAATTCCATGATGATATCTTATTCAGAGGTGCTGCACCTAAAACTGGAGTAGTGGGAAGAGCAGACCTGAGGCTCAGGGCCTCTGGGTGTGGCCTGCGGCTCACAGAACTTTCTGTCCGCCAAGCTCCTCATCTATAACGTGAAGGGTCAGACCAGAACGAGCTCACAGTTCACTTCCAGCGCCAGTGGTGGCAAGTCCCCAGCTTTCTGAGAGAGCATTTTCCAGTTTGTTCCAAACTCACCTCTCTAAATATTACTCCTAATGATGGCTTTTCTGTGGCTAGGCTGTCCCACCACAAAATGACTCTACAACCAGTTGAGTCTTGGTCAAAACAGGACACAGCTTAGTGAGACTTAAGCAGGAATTTCAAGAAATTCAGGAAATGATAAAAATGCTTACAACAAGGACATAAATTACCCCCAAAAAAACCCAGGACACTAGTTTTAAAAAAAAATTGGGGTGGGAGGTTTCCAAGTACGTTCAGTGTACCAAGCAATTAAAAATTTACTGTTTGTATAAAGTTAAAAAATGATAGCTAGATAACTACCGTGGATTCCTGGAATATTGTTCCATATGCATCTCACTATCAGGAAATGCGGTCCTTCAGCCTAGGTTTCCTCGAAAGCTGCTCTTTTCCACACCCGTGTTCTGACTTTCATTAGAACACCACAGCAACTGTCTTTCTCAAGGTCCCCTTCTGTTTCTTACTTCAGGGACAACTCAGCTTTCCAGTGATTTTAGCAAATATGTGATTAACATTTTCTCAGCCAGACGTGTGCTAAGCATGAAAACTTACCTCATCGTCATCCATTAGATTTTCCTTAGCAAAGTCATACAGCTCTTTCTGGAGTGCAGTCACATTAAAGAACTGAACTGCTTCCTGTTCAGACACAAACAGAACAGTTTATATGACCAACTTTTTAATGTTAGAGTTGGGAGGAGGGGAGAACAGGGTATAAGATTATTTCTGGGGCGATGAAAATGTTTAGGATCAGAGAGTGGTAATGGTTGCACAACTCTGTGCATATGCTAACAACCAATGAATTGTGGTTAATTCAGTGAATTCTACAGTATATGAATTATATCTCAATTTAGGGAAAAAAAGAATGGCCAACCCCAAGTGAATGAGAGAGTTTGTGTGTGTGTGTGTGTGTGTGTGTGTGTGTGTGTGTGTGTGTTAGCAGTGAAGTGAGGTGTGAACAAAGATGTATTATGACACCCCAGCATAGCATATAGAAATCCCAATGAAAATACGAGTTAAGAGCAAAGAGCAGGTGGAAAAGATCTTTTGAAAGTAACACAAGAGTACCTCAAAAAGCTCGTGGAAAACAGAATTAAAAGATGATATGAATATTTCCATGAACTTTCAGAAGACCCCACGTGTATAATTAATGGAGTTCCCTGACAAGCACAAAGCTGTGAGTTTGTTCATCGAGAGAATTAAATGATGGCACATCCACAAAAATCTTACCATGGAGCTGCTAAAAAAATAATAGTAAAGTAGGTATATGCATGTGATATGGAAAAGTGTTCATGCTGAATTGTTAGAAAGATAAAGGAAGCCGCAAAAAGTTGCAAAACAGTATGATCCTGCTTTTGTTAAGAACAAATGCTATATGTATGAGTATATGTATATGTATGCTGTATATATGACCAAATGTAGATCTATAAAGCAGGAGGTAAAGAGAAGGTATGGGATTATAAGAGAATTTCAGTTTCTAAGTAAAAGATTTCTGTAATGTTTGAAATTTGCAGTTTTTACAGATTCAGAAACCACAAAAAAGCAGTAAAATATTAAAAGACAAAAAACTACAGAAAAAAATGAGTTTTCCTTCATTTCTGAAATCACACTTTCTGTGGCTTGCTGTATCTTTCTAACAATTCAGCATGAACATTTTTTCATACCATATGCATATACCTACTTTACTATTATTTTTTTAGCAGCTCCATGGAAGGCTCTTTGCGGATGTGCTGTCATTTAATTCCCTTGATGGACAAACTCCCAGCTTTGTGTGTGCTTGTCAGGGAACTCCATTAAGGTACAAAGTAAGGTGCAAAGTAGTCTCCTGACAGCAAGAATGAAGAGGAGGACACGAAGGGTAAGGCTGGGCGCACTGGCACTCACTGGTCTGGGATGGAAGTGCTCATCTGAGAGGCCCCATTTGTCCCTGTGGTACTGGTAATACACCAGGTTCTGCTGCATGACCTTGTCATTCTGGTCAAAGAGCAGGTAGCTGACCGCGCAAGGGGCCGCATTCTTCAGGTCATTCACTGGCATTAGGGAGAAAAGAAGAACAGGGAATCAGCAAACCATGCCCCGCAATTCCTCTCCCCAGCCACCCCTCCGTGGAGCTCAGCTTCCTAAAGAAAATGGCCATGAATGAGCCCCTTCTCCAAAGACCCTCCTCCAGAAAGCCTGCAGCCGACTGGATCAGCCCTGGGTAGGCAGGTCACAGGCTGGGTCTCCATGGCAGCCTGAAGACCAGTTTTGAAACACGGAAGTTTCTTGTTAGGCAGATGCCTTTGCAGAAATGCGATGTACCACACCAGACCCTTGGAGCCAGCCAGAGAGGGCTGGTTCCCAAGGCCTGGACAGCCCAAGGCTGAGGGGGACAGGGAGGATGTGCTCAGCCAACAAGCCCCCCTTTGGGGCCTGCCGTACCTGGGTCCCATCTGGAGGGGACCACAATCTTCAGTTTCAGGCGGGCTCTCCTGCAACCAAACCAGACCTGGAAAACCCAAAGATGGTGGACCTTTTAGGCTGGAAATGATTTGAAAAGTCACCTGATCTTGCCATCTCTGGGGGATAGGGGTTCCCCCTTCTAGCCTACTTAGTGTTGCCCATCTGTGGTAGCACTTTCAGCAAAGGAATTTTGTAGGAGTTGTCTTGGTGATGAGGAGTTGGGGCCACGGGGGAAGAGGTGATGAGACAAGAGTCCTGGGTATTTATTCTGAAAATTGGGTATATTCCACTCCAATTTTCAACTGAGGAACACTACGTTTGCTAAAGCCTGGATACGAATAAATTGTGCCACCCAGTGGATATTTCCTGTAATGACAATTTTAAAGCCTGCACTTAAGGGGCATTGGCTTTTCATACAGTCTGCAAGGCTGCTAAAGGATTCAAATGTATATAACACAAGCCCTCCAGAAATGTAGTGTGGTAAGGAGTCTAGAAAGAGTTCAAAACAGGGTAGACTTTCAGGAAGCCAATTTCAGGAAGGAAATTTTACTCATACTATTTACCTATAACCCCAGAATGCACAGATTTCCTGGGTAACAGCAAGCAAAGCTAGGGGCTTTGGTCTACCAGTGCTTATAAGTCTTTGCCACAGTCTCTAAGATGCAAGCTGTTTCGGAGCATGTGAGGGTTTCAGAGGACCAGTGAGCTGCCAGAGCCCATACATGCTCTAGCTTTGCACACGTACAACCAAACCATGCTCAGGGGGCTAGAAGATCTTATGGATTATGACATCTATATATGAGGGGTCTTCAAAAAGTCCATGGAAAGATTTGAATTATCTTTTAATTCTATTTTCCATGAACTTTTTGAATTACCCATGTATATCTATGTTTTTTCTTTTTTTTTTTAAACCATCATCAAGTAATGCATTCAGTGTATCCCGAAGAGGACAGGAGGTGAGATAAAAGTGTAGGTGGCTGTTGCAGGAACAGAAAAGCCAACAAAGAACAAAATGAACACTGTGGGGAAGGAGGGCTAAGAAAGCCAAAGTCACCTCTCACTCTTCCTAGGGCATCCCTGAGACCAGCCGATCCTGGGTTTGAAGGGGTGACCTGGAAGCATCTATTCTAGCCAGAAACCTGCCACCACTGGACCCTGGCACTTCTTCATTAGGGCAGAAAAGTTTCTGCTATAATTGTCCCTAATAATCCTCCTATGCTTGTAACTGTATATGCTGCTCAAATAAGTGGCACTCGGCAAAGTCAGTTACAGGGAAAGAAGGAAAAGCCTAAACAGACAGGCTCTGAAGTCTAACTCTGAACTACCTTCTCTCCTATATTTGCTTCCCTTTGCCCACTTAGAACATTCTGATTGATAAACTCGAATTTCAGGTTAAGGAAGGACCAGCAGGAATGAAACTCTTACAGTCTGAGAAGTAAACCAGTGATGGGGATGAAGGGAAATAATGATAAAGAAAACAAACCCTTCTATATTTGCTACGTGCCAGTATGAATAGCTTAAGCGTTCATGTCTCCTAACTCATTTAATCCTCAGGAAAATTCCATAAGGTTAGTACTATTATCTCCACTTGACAGATGGGGAAATTGAAATATGGAGAAGTTAGTAAGTGACAAAGCTAGAATGCAAACACAGGCATCCGGCTCCAGGGTTGTACCTGGGATCATTAGACCACACTGCCTTTTTGTGCAAAGCATGGAACTAGAGGTATCAATGTGACCTTGATGAACTCCGAACAACCATAGGTAAGGGTTATTACCTCTAAGTTACAGATGGAGAAGCTGTGTCTTAGAAGGATTAAGTACCTCTCCCAAGATCTCATAGATTACTTACATTTATAATAAGCAAATTGCAAATAATGATACATGGTAGCCACAAATTTCTCAACTGGATAGCCTCCTATGACTGGGGTGAGGTTGTCTTCACACTGTATTTTGCATTCCAGAACTTCTATATAATGATCTGAAAAAACACACAATAATGCATCTGTTACTTTCTTAATATGCTACTTCTGCCTCCCACCGAAATAATAAAGGTAAAAGAAAAATATTTGCAACACTTATGATAAGGGGCTAAAATCTTTAATATAATATAATAAGTTCCTTAAAATCAATAAGAAAAAGACAAACACCCACCATAAAAATGGCCAAAGATTGTTAACAGAAGAGAAATAATAAAATGACAAACATTATAAAGAGATGCTGCAGCTCCTTTGTAATTAAGAAATACAATCACCCCTAAAGTAATTCAAACTGTTAAACTGGCAAAGTTTAAGAAATTTGCACCCAGTATTAGGGAGAGAATGGTGAAATTTATATTTTCATATTCTGGTGGTGGAAACAAAACAAGAACAAACTTTTGGGGGCAATTTGGCAAAATTTACCAACAGTTAAAATACACATTTCCTCCAACCCGTGGTCTACTTCTAGGAAATTTTCTTTAGACACAGGCAACATGTAAGCACTGTTTGTAACAGCAAACAAACAAACTTGGAAGTACCTAAATGCCAATCAATAAGATGACAATTTAAAAACTATGGTATATACAAACAATACAATCTATACATCCTTTAAAAGAGAATAACATGATGCTAAATATAACAACATGGAAGGGTTTCAAAGACTGATTTCCCAGCTTCCCTTGCCATTAGGTTGGGGCCATATGACTAGTTGTGGCCAATTAAATATGGATAGTAACAACTAATAAGTGTCACTTCCAGGCATGGTCCCTAAAACTTCCCTTGTGACCCTCGGCTCTTCCCCACACCCACCCCTTTTCTCCCTTCATGCAGCTAGAAGCAAAAGACTCCAGGATGGTTGCACACACTGTTGGCAAGATTGTGGAGGAACAGGCAGTCTCAAACATTGCTGGTAGGAATATAAAACGCAGCCTTAAAATACTAATACAGAAACATTTACTCTTTTGTAATGTACCGAACTACTGATCATCTCACTTTGGCTTTAAAAACACACCTCCAGACTTACCAAAAAAAAAAAGCCTAAAATGTTCCATTGTAGTATTACATGTATTAGCAAAAAATTGGAACAACCCAAATATCTATCAGGTAGTTGAATAAACTATAGTACATCATCCCCACCTCCCATGGAGTACCTGGCAGCAAATAAAAAGGAATGACACAATCCCTATGTACTAGTTTGGGTATATCATTAGGTGGAAGAAGCAAAGAATAGAATAGTGTGTAAAGTATGGGACCTATTCGTATACACACAACCTTTATAGGAAAAAAATGATTCAGACAAGAATTCTCAGAGGCTAAGTCAGGGCCGGCCCGGTGGCGCACTGCTACAGTGCGCCGCTTGGGAGCGCGGTGGCGCTCCTACCGAGGGTTCGGATCCCACATACAGACCGGTTCCCGCTCACTGGCTGAGCGAGGTGCGGGCGCGACGCCGAGGGTTGCGATCCCGTTGCCGGTCCCGGTCCGGTACGGGCGCGACACTGAGGGCCGCGATCTGTTGCCCGACA